GCTTTTTTCTCTACTCGATTCAATAGTTAATTGGTGTGTTGTAAATAAATGCTTTATGATCTTTTCTATCATTATCAAAGCCCCATATTTATATTTTATATACACTTCTGATTACAAATGCCGACCTAAATTTTTAAACAGCTGATTTCCATTCTTATTATTCTGTAACAAAATGTCTTTAAAAACTTAATAGTAAACTTTATATTATAATACGTGCACCTTATATATTAATATGTACAATTATATAGTATTTTTAAACCTATTTCTAATATTAGATAACACAGACTATGACATCGAATTCCATTTACAAATTTTAAACAATATCACGACAATTATTTTCCAGATCTGATATCCAATGTCTTTTAATGCTTTGCGGGTTTAATGAATCTGAATTACGTTGAAAATTATTTTGAAAAAGACTTTTGTAATCTGCTAAACTATCAAGTATATTTATCAATGTAAATTATACATTATAATCACGATTCATGAGCCTTTGGTAATAGAGATTACTGTTAGTAATTTTTACTATACTAATTCATTTTTTTTGTTGATATTTTATATATTTTTGCAAAAAATTAAATTAGATGTTGATTATTAGAAATAAATTCATTTATAGCTAGACATCTAGTGACTATCATTTTTTAATTTACTAGTGTTGAGAAAATCTTCAAACTAACTTTCGTCATAATATTTGAGTGAAAATAGCTGGATGTGAAACTGACTATATTTAATTATTATAAAAATCGCGATTGAAAATTAGTTAATTTTATTAACAATTCAAACAAAGTTGTTGGAATCTACTATCTTTATTTCTATATCAAAAAAAAAATTATTCCACAAATTTTAGTACTTTGTAGTATCGAATTTATGTACTAGGATAGTCACTGATGATCTAGCTATAACGTTCTAATTGATAAAAAAATAAATATCAATAAAATATTTTTAATTCTAATGAAATTGTATAACAAATACATCCTACATTTATAAAAATATATCTCGAAACAAATACAACTACAATAACTATTATTGCAAAATGCAATAACAAATATTAGGGCAAGAAATTCGATTCATATCACCAATATTTTGACTTTTCGTATTTACATTAACAATATATTTAAAATGTACACTGGAAGAATAGTGATATTAAACTTACATTTTTTATATATGGTTATATAGCGTGATTGGAAATTCAAGAAAGCTTTATATAATATTATATAATCTTACTTTATATCTAAAATTTCTAAATCAGCCTGAGGGCAAATATAGCTTGTCGAGAGTAGTGGGTTTTTGTATTGCAAAGAAAATATGATATAAGAAAAAAATTGATTTTTTAATAGAAACAACACAATATTTATAAAAAAAATTAAATAAAGCACTGAATTTATTTTAAAAAGAAAAGTCATTAAAATACCAAAAAATATAGTAAATTGCAAATTATAAAGTGAACGCTCTTTAGAGATTTTTTTTTAAATTTTTGATAATTATTGTTAGATTCAATCTTCATATTCAAGTTTAATTCTTCCGAAATTACTGGACAAATAGTCCCTGAACCGATCATATTTCTTTAAAAAAATATATACACCGATGTCCAGAGGGGCACAAAGGTCCAACTATCACTCCAACTATATGTAAGCTATTTTAAAGGTTATATAAAAAACCGCTAAACCTAACTTAAACATAACATTTTATATTATAAAGAAATTAAATATCGCATATTAAAAATTATATTCAGGCATCGTGAACTAAACAACCGTGCTCAAAAACAAAATACTAGCAACAAAAAAATACTTTTGTTACAAAATTTACAATTTGGTTGTTTATTTTATAGTAATGAGGTCGCTCGATTTATGACAATGCTTTGTTATATATCCTTTGCCCTCTACTTTCAAATATTATTGTCAAAAAAATTACTTCTTTTTGGGATAATGTTGGTGAGCATTTTTACTCGTAGACCTTTAAGTCCCGCTCAACCCTATTTGTTTATGAACAACCATAATCATCATATATCTTAACAATTTTTAAAAATCATCATGCTTGAATAATAAATCGATCTAAAAGAATATATTTGACATTTTGTACAAACAATAATAATTTACTGCATTAATATTTATTATTTTATTTTATCTTATCTTACTATCTTTTCTATTCAACCAATCGATTTTCCAACTTTGATAATGGACTTGAAAATTATTCTTTGTCTACTAGAGGGTTTTCCATTATAATATACTATTTTTATTTTTTATCAAAATAACATTTAATTAATAAATTTTCTGATGAACATTGGTAAGATTGGTAATATAAGAAATAAAACGGAAATTTAAAACAGTTTGCAAAAAGAGATTCAAAATAAAAATATAATTAAATCTAAATTTATAATTGGAAAACGCAGCTATGAGAGTGTCCAATTTTTTTGATGCAAAGAGTTATTCAAACCAGTTCAAAAATTTCAATGTGTCATCAAAATATAATAATAATGATATTTTTCATCAAATCTCATTCACCAGTTTTTAAAATGTAAGATTTTTTGCATTACGAAAACCCACTATACTATTACATGATTCATCTCTCATTACTTTCATTAATAATAGCTCCTAATTGATTGTTGAAATAATTATTGTATTAATTACGTACAGTAATACTGATATATAATAATATACACGAATATATCATTAAATTTAAGTAAACACTTATATTATGCAAGATAAATTTTGAGCATAAAGGTGCTTCTAAAATTAATAATTGCGTTTGCTTAATCGTTTATTATTACACAGGTGTGTTTTCTAAAAACACGATATTAGCAGTGAATTTGATTTTTTAAAAGGCGGGTGTCGTTATCAAAATGGATTGTATAGCGTGAAGATCAATTGAACTATTTTTATTGATTTGCTTATCCATATAAAGCTTAATTGTGTAATGCTTAAATTGAATCTTCTCATAATATCCTATTTATTTTTCATACTACAGAATTTTAATAAAGTGGTGTCTTGCATTTTATAAATAGATTTTTAAAATATATGTGTTTTTAATCTTTAGAATTTATTATATTGAATTGAAAAAGGTTGAAATAAAAAATTAAAAGTTGAGAAATTAAATCTTAATTGATATTTTTCATTATTGTTTTATTGATGTGTTTTTAACACGTTAATCGCCCCGGTATCAGAAATATTTTAAAAATGTATTAAGAAAACTGGAAACACACTATTTTCATGTAACACATATATGGCTGACATAATCTTTAATCAAAACTTTTTTTCTTGATAATCCGTGTCAGTCTTATAAATCTGAAGAAATGTTTAGGGTTTTGTTCCTGATAAACCAAGCTTTCAAAACATACATATATTATTTATGTCAGGCATCTATGATTAACGTGGCTTTTTAACAAATTGCATATGTAAGACATATACGTCTGACATCGTTTATTTTTACTTTTCTCACGTCAGAAACATATGACTGCAATAGCAATTAACGTGTTCAATATTTGTTGCAATATTTGTTGCAAAAAGTAAAAAAAAATGGCAATTCAGTTCTTGAAAGCGTCCAATTTGAGTGACTGAATATATATTTCACTTGTATTAAAGAAATGAAGAAATTGTTAAATTTTTGGGCAGGTCTGTCCAACGGTTTTACTTTTAAATCACATATAGCGATTTGATGTTTAGTAAAATTACCTTTAACCTACCAACTTACCAACAAAAATATCGAAACAAAAACAGCATATTTTTTCAAATACATTTTATGACGTGTTTAATATTATATCATGGATAATATAGTATCGCTATTCATATGATTAATAAATTTTAGCTGGAATACAAAAGAATTGTTTGTTTAGATAAATCGTTCGTTCACTAAAACTAAATTCACTTATTTAATAAATATCTATACAGATTGGAATACAAACTATGTGTACTATTTCAAAAGATGATAAATTTTAATTTCTTAACATGTAGTTAGATTGATTGAATACATGAGTATTATAAGTATTAAGTATTTGGTCTAGTCTACCAAGGTGTAGGATTAAAAGCGATTGTTAAAATGATACTTATTTTGAAAATAAATTCATGTGCTTTATATATGTCGGTGAATATAATATATCTCAAAATGCTTCTAAGGAAACAAAAATTTACATGCTGGTAAGTTGGTATTCGCATCGTTGCTTCAAAATGAACATTTATATAATATGTAATATTATATATAAGATTTAAATAAGTATTAATGAAATTTTACAAGATTTTATTTGTTTAATATATTTCAATTAAAAATAGTTTTTTATATATAATGTCCATGCACATCACACGTCTAAAAAATGCATCTGTAATTTTCTTTAAAAGCTGACAATTGATGAAGTAATTTGGAAAGAAATTTTTTGCATTTTGGGTATTTTTTGTGGAAGAGATTCATTACTTAAAGAAAATAGTTGTTTTCAGTCACTTTCTCATGACAACTGTATAAAATCAATTAAATATTATCAACACGTTATCCACCATATGTATCTGACGCTGTTTTACATGGGCTATGACAGACATATATATCTGACATACGTAATTTGGTAGATCACCTCAATCATAGACGTAAGCGATATAATTGCAGTAAGTTTCGAAAACTTGGCCAGCAAATTCTAAAAATTTCTTGGGTTAAAGCAAACAATAAAATGAAACGAAACATAGTTATATATATAACGGCTCAGAAAATAATAAGACTGACACAGCTTTCCATAGCGAATGTTACCATAGCTAATGTGATTTTTTTAATTATCGTGGCGCTTAACGTGTTAAGTTTTTAAACACACCAGAATATATCGAATTCAATAGAAATAATCAAAATAATTAAAAAATAGTTATTGAGCATAAATGTTATTGTCGAAGTGATAAAATTTACAATTGATGTAATTGCTTATATTCTGCAAACCGTTATCATAACAACAAATATATATTATAACAAATTTCACAACCTACAATTGTCGACGTAAAATATCAACTAAAAACCCTCCTACTTTATTCTGTTTCGATGTTTCCGATCGTTCCTCACATGGCGTCCTCCTGTAATGTGTCAGCCGTCCTCTGCGCCATGCCGTCCATTTCGATATCGTTGACGCCTCGCCTGGGGGACCGGTACAAATACCAGTCGCCGTCGATGCAGACCTTCTCGATGACCATGCTTCATGTCCCGCTCGATCTTATCGTCCGGTTGATGCTGTCGCCGTTGGACGGGCCCGCTGCCGCGGCGTTGCCGCCGCCGAGGTTAGCCGCGGCTGCTACTTGCTATATGAAGGAATACAGAAATTAAAATATTTTTAACAATGATAAATGGATTCAAATATTCGTTAGCCGAATTGTTTTAGTACCTATTACATAACAATTTAATGTAATCTATTGTTCTTTCGTGCTTTATTACTCAACGTAAAAAGCTATCCACAACATGCGGGTGCAATTGTTATTCTGTAATAGTCGAAAATCAATTCTCTCATCGCAAATGTGTTAATTATCTTCCCGTAGGGCAAGTTATAGTAATCGCAAAAAAATCGAAAATGAAAATTTGTATATATTTTTACGTTTCAAAACCTTCTGAACATTTTGTCATACCTTAGAAAAAATGGATGTATGTGTGTGTGTGTGCGTGTATGTATGTGTGTGCGGATACAAATTTTCGTCGACGATTTCGGAAACACGGATGAAGCGATTTGAATAATTCAAAAACCATTTGATTCGTATTGATAAGGAGACGTGCTGATTGGTTTCTGGCAAAGGCAGGTCTGGCCGTTCCGAAGATATGCGGCAAAAAAAGCCAAAAACGGGAACTTAGTTTTTGAGAGAACGAAGCGTCCGAATAATTCAAAAAACACTTTACTTGTGTTGACTAAATAAAGAACTGTTTAAATTTTTGGAAAGGCAGGTGCAACGACTTCGGAGACATGGAGAAAAAAGTAAAAAAAATGAGTCATTTGGCGTTCAAAAATGATCTAATAGACATATGCACATCAAATTATCAGATATTTTATAGAGATTTTAACAATAAGTATAAATTTTGTTTACATTCCTATGGGTTCCGTACCAATGTTTATCCGTTAGACGGCGACGCGTCGATATTTCGTCTCTATGCAGTTAAAGTAGTACGATTGCTTTGAAAAAAAGTTCAGAAATTCCAAAATATTTCAAAATAAATTTTTCTTCGAAAAGTTATTTTTTTTTCAAATAACTCTTTACAACTATCTGGTTATCTTCAGCAAAAGTCAAACTTATCATTGTAAATATGTTTTTTGCTTTTTTTTCAAAATTTTGTCACCTGCCACATAAGCTAGGTGAAAAGGGACAGTTAGTGGGGTGCAAAAAAATTCTCCATTTTATTTTTAATTTTCAAAAGATTTCATAAAATAAAAGCTATATTACTCAGTCAAATCGAGGAGTTCAATTATTAGGTTAAACAACAAAATATAAAATCACAATCTAAGTAAGTATTATATATTATTTATCAACTCTTAGTACTCCATAAATCCTGCTTTGGTAGTTGTTTCTATTTAATTTATCACAATCAGAATTATTGGTTTTTTAAATACTAAAGACCATAAGATAAATATGACTTCTGTCTGAAACACATTTTTATGAGCACATCTATAATATAAAAATGAATCGCAAAATGTGTTGGTAAGCGCATAACTCAACAACGCCTCGACTAATTTGGCCAATTCTTTTTTTAAAATGTTCGTTGAAGTCCAGGATGGTTCTTACGGCGAGAAAAAATCGAATAATTACCGGTAAAACCCTAAAAACAGCTCTTATCTTTTTCACATACAAACGTTTTCTAACTAAAACATAGAATCAATTTGAGCTTTAATTTTTTATATTGCGTAAATAAATAAAGTGAACAAAGAATTTATAAAGGTAAACTGGTTTATCGGTAACATGGTGTATTGATAAACAGGTCGATAGGTAAATTGGTAAGCCAGTAAGTTGATTAGCAAGTTGATAGGTAAATTCGTAGACAAATTGTTGAATAGGTAAGTTGTTGAACAGATAGTAGTAACATTAAACTAAATGGAGCATATACACATCTCTGTTCAACTTTTTAATTTAAACTAAATCACAGCAAAGCGTGAACGGGTACAGCTAGTTTGTCATAAACATCGTACTTTGATATTGAACTTTGTAAGAAGAATTCATTATCAAAGTTACTATTAATATAATTTATCTGATGCATAATAACTTTCTTAATGTATTTTACATTTTTAATTACTGTTATCTTATTTTTTTTAGTGTTAACGACTAGGTGATCCTTTTTACCCCAATTGCATATGAGCTATTCTAAATATTTTATGAAAAAACTGTTGGGTTTAAATTAAAAATAACAAAAGAACTCATAAAATAATTAAATAATTCATACTTAAAAATTATATTTAGGTATCTTAAACTGACCAACCGTGTTTAATAATAAAAAGAGTAACGACAAAAAAGCACTTTCGTTAAAAATTTGATAATGTTTTCTTTTATCTCCTGACTTTGATGTCGCCCGATTTAAAGCTTTGACTGGTTTGTCATAATTTTTTCTTTATTTTAGAATAGTATCGTTGAAAAATGTCACAATTTACTTGTTTTTGAGATAATGATCGTAAACTTTTGTTTTGTAATGGTTGTATCACAAGTCCACTTTCAACTTTTATAACGAAGGGGTTAAATATCACGTATATTATGTTTCATAGAGACATTTTGCAGAAAGTGTTATTAATGAAAGAAATAGCAGTGCATCTCCAAGCAACATTTTATTTTGTTCCTTATAATGGTTATATATTTATTCTCATAATAGGTTTCGATTTCTTTTGTTTTGGTTTGCTTTCAATTGTGGCTATTTATACTTAACCTTTGCCCTTTCTATACTTCATTATCTATTTATAAAAAACTTTTTTTTTCATATTACATTCTCAATATAATACCAGGTCGTATTTGTAATATCGATATATACATACAGATGAATTTATAGATATATATATATATATATATATATATATATATATATATATATATATATATATATATATATATATATATATATATATATATATATATATATACATATATATATATATATATATATATACATACATATATATATATATATATATATATATATATATATATATAATAGGGTGGTCCTTAATATAGACATTTTCGAATTTCCTTGCTCCCAAGTGGTTCCAAATTAGTAAAAATGAATTTTCTAAAAGTTTTAGCTCTTAATATTGAATTTTAGATAGTGCGCAATTGAATCAAACTTCGTATGGAAATAGCATGGAAAAAAATTAAAAATTCAAAAAAAAATGTTTTTAGGTAACAAATGAATTAAAAGTGAAAATTCGTGTCATTTTTTATCGAAAATTGGACGCTCTGCGGAAAATTTTTTCATGCTATTTCCATACAAAACTTTGATTGAATTGCGCTCTATCTAAAAGACAATATTAAAAGCTAAAACTTTCAGAGAATTGTTTTTTGTCAATTTGGAACCATTTGAGCTTTTGGAAGCAAGGAATTAGTGGTTTATAAAACTACTAGATTATAATCAAAATCTGTATCTACAATATACTGATATCTATTTGGGATAAGCTTCTTTGAATTTCTTCTCTATATATTTATGTTTTAAAGGTTTCTGAACTAGAAAATAAAAAAAGGGGCAAAATGATAAGGGAGTTTTTCAGAGAACGGAACGCTCGATTTGAATGATTCGAAAAAATATTGAACTTGTATTGACGAAATGGAATATTGAATACATTTTTGTGAAGGCAAGCTGAGCGGTTTCGGAGATCCAGGAAAAACTTAAAAAAATGCCATTTGGCGGTCGAAAATGATCGTTTAGCATATGCATATCAAATTATCATATATTCCATAGCTAATTCTAATGAGTTCGCGGGTCACTTATAATTACAACAACGAACGCTTTATGCTACTACTTGACATAAGTATAAGTTAATAAAATTTTAAGTATTTTTGTCTCTATACAAAAAACAATTATTTATTCCCTTACCGGTGTCCTAGCGCATACGCCCCTCTGCGCCTCCACTCAGTCGTCTGGCTCCATGCCTATCAGCTCAGCTTGCAGGCGTCCTTTGGTCCTGCAGCAGATTGTCAAGCAGAATATCCTCAGAGCCATTCGAAATTGTGGACTCAGTGTCATTAAGATGATGATTTTCCAAAATGAATTTAAGACACCTACCCACACTATGACGAACTGCATCAAGGGCATTTGAATTCGTCCACCGTTGAAGTATTCGAAAATCTAATAAATCGCAAGAAGAAATAGTTATTCCTTGGATTGTTATATCAATTAATTTTTTTTAATTACTGTATTTGTTACAACTGTTAAAGGATTAACATTTAGTAACAGTAATGAACAATTATATAAATTTAATAAAAAGAGCACAAAATAAAATATAGAATTTTCAATAAAATGATATCCGTAGTATGTTGATTTAATATAAAATAAAAGCAAATAATAATAATAATAAAATTAATAAGTAAAATAAATAAAATTTTTGAATAATAAAAATAATACTAGAAAAACAATAAAGTAGAATGAAAACCAATAAGTGAAAGATAATAATTAATATAACAAAATAACAATATTAGGAATGATGAGATAATAATAATAATATAATAATAAAAATAATAATAATAATAATTCAATTAAATGAATTACGCTATTCAAATTATAACTATTTTATATATTGTATATTGAATATCTTTTTAACTAATTATATATACTTTTTGAAATCGAAATATTAATTAATTAATTAGTAGATGACTTTACAATTGATTGGACAGTCTTTTTAACTTTTCGTAGGGGGAATTATTGTAATTGTCCAAATTTTTGCATTTTTTTGAGAAAACTAAGCATCCGATTTGAATTATTCAAAAAACTTTCTGCTTGTGTTAACGAAACAATTGTTTTTGGAGCAAGAATTTTTTTTTATTTAATTTTTTTTCAAACTTTTTTTTGTATATCGAAAAGGACACGATATCATACACCACTAGTATTTTAATTATTTAGCCAAATATTTTAAGTTGCTTAAAATGAATGTTTATTTCATAACGTACTTTTGTTTCTTATTAGACATGAAAATTTACATTACTAAATGTCTTAACTACACTAATTTATTTGAACTATACTATTTGTCTAAAATATAACTTGCCTTATTGAAACCAGAAGTTTGAATATTAATTATATTTATATTTTAATATATTAAAAACTAAAAATCGTAAATTCTCTCTTGGGAAAGCCAGCACCTCCTAATCGAGATACAAAACTTAACAAATCATGACAAATTGTATAAAGATATAAAATCTAGTAAATCCTATATGCTAATGTATTAACACATCAATCGCCTTAAGATCAGAGAAATGTTCACATGGACCGTGGTAACTTCATTACATAGGTTTGTTAAAAATGCTACAAGAAAACTTAATTATATCAAACAAAATTTTTTCAAATTCCTGGGAACACACTATTTTTATGTCACACAAATATATCATCCTTATAATAAAAATTCGCGACAAGTTGTGTGTCAGTCTTATATGTAAACTAAGAAATTTATGTAAACATTTTTTTTCTGTAAAGCCAAACTTTTGAAACATTTCGGACACCTATGATTGACGCGATCTTCTACCATATATGTCTGAATTGGCTCATGTAGAACTTCTTAGCATCAGACATATATTACTGCCATGGCAATTAATGTGTGAATTAAAAAAATTTATGCAGCCACAGAATCTCTATGCAACTCTCTCTTACCTGTGCAACTATTCCAGACATATTCTAATCTTGGGAATTGTTGCAAAGAGAAGCTTACAAATGTGTGCAATGAATAATTTGGTGAATAACATTATTTTTTAAACTATAGCGTTCTTAGTAAGTTTTATTATTTTATTTTCATTCAAAATGCTGATATAAACAACTTTTTTTGAATAAATAAAATATTTGAATATACATTGCAATCCCCAATTCACAACGAATTATATTTAAACATAAAAATGTGAAAGGTGATATTTTATCTAATGATGGATGATAAATGATATTCATAGCGTGCATATTTATTAAAAATACCATGCAAAATGAAGCAATAAACAATAATTGCTATCTTGTAATATACCAGGTGTTCCAGAACTCAACATCATATCATGAAAAAATTTAGAAAAAAGAACTTATTCCATGTAGTTTGAAAATTATGACCTAAAGACCAACCTAAGATCTTCAGTGAGACTGTGACCATTTTTCGGTTATTGTGGTTATTTCTTACCAATTTTGTACAATTATACTTTGGATTCATAACCATAAATAACATTTCTAGGACCACAGGACCAAATAACGTCAAATAATTTTTAACCTGAACAGAATTTCAAAATAAATTTCTAAACATAGTGCAGTTATATTTAATACAAACATTAACCTATTTGTGCAATTTATATGGTTTTATCCTAGTAGCATAAAATATTCTAATCTATTAATTATATATTTACCTTTACTCCTGCATAAGGCGCCCAACTGAGCCAAAAGCAGAATATCAGAGCAAAGCTCATAATATGACTCGGATTCGACAAGTTCTCTGAAAGCGCCGTCGCGTACTCCTTGTCGTGAATAGGCGCACCACTCTTGATCTTCCTCATCATCGAGAAGATGTAACCATAGTTATAAACTATGCTTATTAGACTCGGGCCTAAGACTAATATCGCCAAAGTGGCCGAATATGCTGCCATGTTGCCCCAGTCTAGCATGCAAACGTAACTTTCTTCATCAAACAAAGGTTTGTTGAAGCCAAGAAGCGGCGGCGAACACAGCATCGCGGCTGATATCCACGTGAAAGCCATCCAGCATTGGCAACGAGTTTTCGTTTGCACCGTTTCGTATCTTAACGGTTTACGTATTGCTAGATATCTGCAATAGAATAGAATGATTTATATATTTTAATTATTTTGATATATGCATATAATTATTAAACTAGTGGGACGCATGGCATCGTGCCTTAAGGCAAATAGCTGGAACTTCCCGTACCAAATATTATTAATTTTTTAAAAACGATTAATATTTTTGAAAAAATTTTACTTCGAAAAAATTAGATTTTTGAGAAACTAGGACTTTGACAGAAAATTACTTTTTTTGGAAAAAAAAAATTTTTATTATATTTTATTTATATATATATATATAATATATACATGTGTATATATATATATACTATATCTATATACATGTTGTATTCTATATACTATGTATATCTATATATTATGTGTATATATATATATATTATATATATCTATATATATATATATGTATATATATATTTGTGTACTATATATCTATATAATATATGTGTATATATCAGACACCCTACATACCTACTTGATATAATGTGTTATATTTCTACCTTACGCCCTATGTATTATCTCTACCTATCTATTGCCTATACCGGGGATTGAACCCGGTTCCTCTGCGTGACAGTCACGCATCTTAACCACTACTCTATCGGGTTTCCCCACTGAAAATATATTATGGAACACACTGTTGTTTCTTTGAGCATTTTCTAATTAATTGAGTAACTAATACTAAGGTGACGCGACAACACACGAAAAAAGACGGTTGATTGTAGCGTTACGGTGGTTGAGTGGTTAAGGTCGTAGCCTGTCACGCGGCGGACCGGGGTTCGATTCCCGGTAAGGGTTAAAATAGTATGTAAGCGAAATTGTAGGCGTAAAATAATAAATGTTAGGCGGTTTAGATATAAGTGTAAGGATTGAGCGTAAACGGTGTGGTGGTAAAGGAACGTACGATATAGTAGTTATAAGGCGTATAACCACGTAAAATGTAATGTTTAGGTATTGGTTTAGGTATAGGTGATACACATACGCGAAAAGAAATTTCTGATATTAGGGGTTATCGTATAAGAATTGCGAATGTTATATAGATTTAATTTATAAATATTCTTTCTTCTAGACAAATATTTAGTTTGCTGGTTAGTTTTTTGACAAAGGCAGGACAAAAGTGCAAGAAATGTCGATTTAGTTTTTGAGTCAACGGAGCATCTGGTTTAAATGATTCAAAAAACATTTTACATTTCTTTACTGAAGGAAGAAGTGATCAAATTTTTGGGCAGGTCCAAGAAAAAAAGTAAAATATTCTCTGTTAAAAATATTAAATATCGGTACGAAAAGTTCTAGCAATTTGCCTTAAGGCACGCCATGCACCTCTAGTTTAGTCTTATATTATAAGAACAAAAAGTTCAAAACCATCGGAATCGAAAGGTGAAAGTTTTTTAGGTAAATTTGATTATCAATCAACTTTATTCATACTAAAATAATTATTAACTAGTAGGGTGGGTATAACCCTACGGGAAGTTAATAAAGATTCTCAACAAAACATTTTTATAACTTTACGGTAAGTTAAAGTAAACATTTTCTAACTCCAAGGTATTAAGGTAAACATTTTCTAACTCTAGGGTAAGTTAAACTAATTGCAAACAATTCGAAAATGAAAATTTTTACATATCTTTACGTTTCAAAGTTTGCTGAACATTTTGGCATACCTCCTAATTAAAAATAATGGATGTATATGTGAATGTGTGTATGTATGTTTGCATGTATGTATGTATGTTCGTATATATGAGCGGATACAATTTTTAACGATATTTCCGAGAGACCGATAAACTGATTTGAATGATTCAAAAAGTAATCGATTCATATTGATGGGAAGACTAAGAATGCTGCATAGTTTTTGGTAAAGGAGGTCTAGCCGTTTCAAAAAGTTGGAAAAAGTGCAAAAAATGGAAATACAGTTTTTCAGAGAACGGAACGTCCGATTTTAATTATTCAAATGAGATTTAACTTGAATTGACGAAATGAAGAGCAGGTTGGCTCTTCTTTTCAAATATTGGGAGAGGATGGAGCAGCGGTTTCGGAGATTCATTAGAATAAGTGAAAGATATGACATTTGGCGGTCAAAAATGATCATTATACATATGAGTATCATGTTTTCATATATATAATAGAGAATTTGATAATAAGTACAAATTTTGTTTGGTATGGGTTCTGTACCAAGATTTTTAACATACGACTGTTAGAGAACGACGCTGTGGTTAGGAAAAAAGTCTAGCAACTTGCCTCAAGGCAAGATGCCATGCACCACTAGTTATTGATATTACGGAAAGAATATACATTAATGTATCATTTTCTCTTACCTGTCCACAGATATCCACATGAATGTGTAAACGCTGACGGACCAGAGCGTGACTTCGAGGTAGCCGACGACTCTGCATATGACGTCGCCGTACATCCAGTGTTGCGTGAGAGCTGGGTAGACGGACAGAGGGACGATGAACATGCCGCAGAGAAGGTCTGCCACGGCCAACGACAACAGGTAGTAGTTTATAACTTCGGCGGGACCTAGGAAAAATTTTGTGTTATCTTATTTGTGATAATAAGATAAGACAATAAAGGAATAGCGGTTTTAATTAGAATATTTTGAAAGTTACACATATAGGGACTAACACCGACACATTTACAACATCCAAATAATTAATAGGTACATTTTTAGAAACGTGTCTGAAAATAAGAATGATGTTATTGTTGTGAATAAAGGTATGCATGTTAGATAATAGCATGATGTGCGTCATGTCATCGTTAAACTACAATTATCGAATTTTTTTGAGAACCAAAAGCCGATGATTATTCGAAGTTTCATTATTTAGTGAAGAAACTGTTAGAGATTTATTTAATATTGATTTATCTTCATAATAGTTTTTTATTTTTTTTAATATTATTTATTATTTACAAAACGTGTTAAATTTTTCCAGCAAAAGAAAACATTATTTGCAACTTTTGTAATAGATTGTAAAATGCAACCTATTATCTGCAGAAAGCATTTTGTCTATGTAGTGCGGACAAAATGACATATATGGTAAGGACGCATTGAGACGGCAATTTTTAAACAAGCAGTTTACAAATAAATCGTTTCATCATCTATGGATGATTAGCACACGAAGCATAAACTTAAAGAGCACAAGTCATATATCGAAACCAATTTTCACCGGGCTCAGAGCGGAAAGGAGAGTTTAGCAACAAATGCAAGGCTATTCTTGTTATCGGTGGATCTTCTGATCCGTTTTTAGTAATTATTTCTTGCATACTTGGAGTAGAAGTTAGAATTACCTTTGACAGGTATTATTTTTTTGGCCTGTAATGCTTGCGAAATAATACTATGTAATTGTGTCCAATGTACAAGTATGTCATTTGTCCAAAATTGAACAAAAATGAATACTTGATCAAACTTTCAATAAACACGTGATTATAATTGCAATGCAATTATTCAAAATCACTAGACTTAAAATAAATTAATTGATTTTAATTGTAATAATATAATACGTGTATCAATAAATTCAATGCGGATTTGCGAGGAGCCTATCCTAGGAGTGAAAGGGGGAGGGGAATCCTAAACTAGTATAAAACCGAGTATTTTATCAGATAAATAAATAAATGTAATGTGCAATATAAAGAGGTCAAAATTAATTTTCAAGGATCGAAATACGTTTGAACTGATTACTATTACAAGACTGTGACAATGACGCTCAACATCTGACAGGTTTGTTTTATGGCTTTCTTCATGTTGTACAGTCGCGGAAACGGTAACAGATCTGGCCAATGTTTAGATAAAGCTACTGTGTCATTTTGTCCATATATGCAATTTTAATCACTATTTCCGATTTTATATTCCTAATACTAATCATTATTTGCCTATACAGTTTCTATTACTATTTCAAGAGAACTTAGTTTTTATAATTTGTATATGCATTTTCCAATTTTCAATTTTTCATCCAAACGTTGAAGTTGTTTTATGCAATGTTTCGAATTAAAGGTATCGATCACAATCAAACTAATCACTAAGAAAAATTTAAAAACTAGCATTTTATTTGTATCTTTGCTGTTATGGTCAATTTTAAAATGTTTACTATCTCTTTACTCATTAATCTCTAGACTAGATTACAGATAGCTATTAGTGAAAATAAATATTGAAATAGACATCACCGTAAAGTATGTTTGGTCGTATTACATTGAAACTTGAAAGCATGACAGGACTAAAGAATAATAATCTACAAACTGCATGCGCATTTTTAATTATTTGAATTTTTAATATTCCTTAGAGTTACTGTTTTATAGTTAATTTTCTTATGTTTGTTTCGTTTTGTAATTTACAATAATATTAATAATCTTTTTTCGTAAACCAATTTTTGCAAATCAATTGATATAAATATTAATATTAACGGTAATAAAAATAAATCTATATTTTTACAACTCTAATAATAGAAATTTTTATTAAAAATTGTACACATCAATTGAATAAAATTATTTTTATTAACGGTTCATTTTATAAATAATGTTTTAAAATTAATGCAAATTAATTATATTGACTTATTAGTACATGCAGGAATTTAAGTAAAATCAATCAACACATTATACCCGTTACAAAATATAATATTACAACACCGAACAACACAAATTCAATTCATTTCCATTCAATCGAATAGATTTTATTCTGTACCTCGGTAATTCATAAAAGTCGCTATTATGACTGCATTCGAAGCAACGATGGCGACTCCCATCGCAAAAATGACCGCCGCCTGTATCAGCACCTCCATCGGCGGCGGATCGGACATTATTCCGGGGCTTTCCGGTTGCGGAGCGGCCGTCGGCGCGCGCTCTCCACCGGCGGCCGCTTCCGGGAAACGGATCGCCACCCATAGCAACGCTAGTATAAACCCGGAGGAAGCTTTTTGTGCATTCATTTTGAGAGCCTATAAAAAAAAAGTTGTTATTACTTTTTGAAGATTTTCAATGATTTCAGTAATCGCAAAAAAATCGAAAATGATTAATTTTATATATCTTTACGTTTCAAAGGTATTTTGGACATTTTGGTATACCTTAGACAAAATGGCTGTATGTGTGTGTGTGTATGTTTGCGGATACAAATTTTCGTCGACGATTTCGTGAACACCGATAAACCGAATGGAATAATTAAAAAAATATTCGATTGGTATTGATAAGAAGACGTGCTGATTAGTTTTTGGCGAAGGCAGGTCTGGCCGTTCCCAAGATACGGGGCAAAAAGTTCCAAAGACAGTAACTCAGTTTTTAAAAGAACGGAGCGTTCGATTTTAATAAATCAAAAAGCATTTTACTTGTTTTGACAAGATAAAAAACTGATTAAACGGTTATGGACTCTCAATAAAAATAAGTTAGGTAAATGACATTTAGCGGTCAAAAATATCAGATATTTTATGGAGACTTTAATAATGTGTACACATTTTGTGCAATTTTTTTGGGTTCCCTACCAAGATTTTTAATTACTGTACGGGAAGTTCCAGCAATTTGCATTAAGGCACGATGCCATGCACCCCACTAGTTTATTAATCTGTTCACATTAGACAAATCACCGTACAAAGGTTACATGTAATATCATTTTTGCATAACAATTATAAGATTCAAATTAGCACTAATCTTGTGGCGGACATAGCTCGAACAGTAGCATGTCCGACTCATACGCCGGAGATCGTTTTTTTGATTCCTGACATATTCTAAAAAATTAATTGTAATAACGAGTTTGTATTGATAGTATAATTGTAATTGAATGCATTAGTATATAAAGTGCGCAAATTTCGAAGAAAAATGAAAAAAAAAACAGTATCAAGCACAAATTTCGACAGAATTAGAAGAAGACGTAATAGTTTTAGTAGTACAAAGAAGAAGATGAATTCAGAAGAGAGTAAAATATCTTAGATTTTAAATATTAAATTAATAATCAGTTACAATTAACCAGTGATAATTAACCATTTAAATTGCAAATTTTGCGAACAAAACATATTGTTAAATTGCAATACATGTAGTAAATTTTAAAACTATGCCGGAAAAACAAATAAATTAAAAAAATACCAACGGTTTAAAAAACCCTTGTACTGATTGAAAAACGCAACATAAGAATTGATTTATGTACGATTTTTTAGACATTAAGAATAAAGTATAAAACTCGATTAGCATGCTATCCATTGTGTAAGAGTTTTAGTTTATAATTTGTATGAATGAAGTTATATATTATAAGTCAATATTTAGTAAAAACGTAAATTTAGTAATCAAAGTTTGAAATTTATGAAAACCGTTCATTTTATCCACTATCTTAACAGCGCAACATATTCTATATATAATTGATAAATTTTTCTTGTCAGGACTCAATTCTGATTATACAAAATTGTATGCACAAATGAAGGCGCCACAGGTAAATGGTTAATGTATTATTTCTAACATGTAACAAAAAAATAACAGCTTTTATTATATATGGCACCTAATATTATATATAATAAAAAAACGATACATATATTACTGAAATTGACAAATCAGTGTTTATTTCTGTTCTGTTAATGATGAATCGTTTATAAACTCAATTATGATAAATGAGGCATTGTAAATGAGTTTACGTAAATTTGGCTCAAATCCAAAACTGTAATAACAAGGTACAAATTACTTCGTATGGTACATATAAATATTTGTAAGGCCATTATCTGGGATATTTGAATAGATATTTGTTATGAAATGGAGTTGGTGATAAATAATAGAAAAATCAGACAAATTATATATAAAACTAAATAATAAAAAATATTGTACTAGCCACAGACATTTTTAAAATAAACACTGATTTTTTAGTAAATGGTGAGCAATCGTAGCATGTAATCGCATTTAGTTTATCTATTTCACATATATACTATTTCCAGAAATATGTCAATTAAAATTCTATTTATCGTTGCTGTATATAATTATTTTACAGTTAATCTCAGCAACTTATAAAATATTTCAGATTAAGTCTATAAATTGGAAAGTCAATTTATCATCACTGGAATTTATAATCGTCATTTATAAAAAGTACCTGCATTCTCATTTTTTTCTCTGTGTGTTTCTGATTTGGAAAAATTTTGACGATATTTGTTGCAAATATGAGATCATTATGGTATTTGAGGCGTTGTTGTTATTGGAAAATGATCCAGAATAAAAGTAAGTACCTTATAAGGTAACTTAAATTTGAATGAAATTTTTATAACTAGTAGAAGTTATGAACACCAATTGATAAGAATTATTCAATCATTATGATATACAAATAGCTAACTAAGCAATAAAATTATATCACATAAGTAAATATTCACAATAAAATTAATTGTCCAATTTTACCTCAGAAACCTTCACGACAAATTTCATTGTTCGATTTCATTGGAGCAATTCTTGATTTGCTGACAACACAGCTTGATTCCGGGGATCTTTCTAATTGATAATGTTTCATTAGGATTGACTTTTGATTGTCTTGTCGTTCCATTGCTGATGTCTATTTCACACCAATATAGGTTTTACTGCAAAGATTAAAAAAACATTAATAAATATTATTGTCAAGATTTTTTTTATAAAAATTTAGATCAGAAATTATTTTAATAAATGTTGATAATAAAATGTAACAATATATGTCCAATTGAATCTTTTCGATTTTATATATATAAAAATATTTAAAAACCCCTTCGCTTACCAGCTAATATCCGAATTTGCGGGCCAAAAACGACACTAAGGTCGGCCGCACGCAGTGGCAAAACAACTTGGCTCGGCGTTCGAAACTGTAACAAATCATAAAATTCCTGTAGTTTGTATATACACGTGCTCGGTACAATTAACTTT